GACTAAATTATTGGAGGATTAAAAGTTCACATTATATCAACAGTCAAAACTTTTATATCATTGCAATACTTTTATATCGTTTATTGAGGTTCATGTTATAACCTTCCTCTTATACTGAAATATCTTTATGGTGGTAGTTATATTTTCTCGTCTGATATATTAAATAAAAACTACACAATAATCATATATAACTATAGTATGATTAATTGCAATAACCTGTGAAGTCTTTATGTTGAGAATTAAATTAAGTTTGACAAAGTTGCATACAAAATGCCTTTCAAAGAGGAGATGAGATAAGCGATGTATAACGAAAATTGACACCAAATTATATATATTTTCCTGCAGATTGAGTCAAAAGTTTATTAATAGGAAGATGATAAAGACTTTTGGCAGCTAGTGATCGTTTTTTTTTTTTATTTCACGAATCTCTTAAAACTTTTCATACAACTTTTAATTATTAAAGCACAAGACAGTTAGTTACCTGTGATGAGGTTAATGAAATATTTCCAGGTATATCTTCCTTGAAATCTTAATATGAAATAGCTCCCCGATGCCTAGTATATATATATATATATATATATATATATATATATATATATATATATATATATATATATATATATATATATATATATATATATATATATATATATATATATATATATATATATATATATATATATATATATATATATATATATATATATATATATATATATATATATATATATATATATATATATATATATATGGCTTTTATACACAGTGTTTACGTGTATATAAACATAAAACACCACTTCAAATAAAATAGTGATCGTAAATCTAATATTAAAAAAATACAAGTAATTCTAACTCAGGAGGCGATATGTCCTTATTACAATAGTGTATTTATAGGTTCACAAAATGTAGTGGATTAAGGCAGTTTTTTTTTATTCGGTGAGACGAACCTATCCGCCATCTTCAGTTTGGCCAACGTTTCCCATCCGTGTACGATAATCTGTGAGCATCATCCATTCTACCTGGTGAAGGCAACTGTCTCGTAAACCACAAGCTAGAGCCTCCAGCGAACCCCACCTCACCCCCCCGTGACCCCTGACATTATTACTTTAACACTGACTTAGAAACCTAGAGACATATAATGCAACTTGCACCTTTTTGGAATAAGTTACTGCTTCTCGAGTCAATTACACTTTATAAACAGAACTACATAGCCGAAAGCCTATGTTTGCATATAGAAAACACACTCAGACTTATATATTTAACAAAGAGAGAGAGGGAGAGAGGGGGGGGGGGCAGGTGGAGTTAGCTGGAAAAGAGTGAGAGTGATGACTATATTTTTTACCTTGAAATATGGAAAAGACTTGGGTGGTGATGCGGTGTAACACTCCTCATGACCCATCACCATAAGTTGACTGGCAAGTAATGGAGCTTTGGTCTCTGTATTCTTTTCTTTCTGTCTGGATTCACCTTCTCTTCATCTTTTTGTTTTTTGTTTCTTCTGTTTTTCTATATTCACCATTTCCCTATTTTCTTTTTCCTCTTCCTCCTTCTTCTCCTCCTCTTCTATCCTTATATCCACTATCACATCTCTTCTTCTTCATTCCATATATACTCCTTCATTTTCCTCATCTTCCTTCTTCCTTTCGCTAACCTTCGATACTCGTTCGCTTCCTCCTTTCCCTTCATATATCTTCTTCTCCTCCTCTATTCTGCCTTTAACCTTCACATCTCCACCTCTCCATGCCTCTCTCACCATTCCTCACTCCCGCACATCTTCTCTTTATCGATTTTGCCTCCCATGCTCCCTCCTATATTTGTAATTTGAGACTGGTAGTGGGGAGTCTACCAAGATGAGTCCCTCTCTGTGTGAACACTGACAGAGACACTGGCTGAGATGCTGACAGAGAAACTGGAGGAGAGACATAAGAACGTAAGAAAATAAGTAGTATGCAATAGGCAGGTTGGCCTGTACATGGCAGCTCCTGTCGAGAGTTACAACCACTCTCTATCATCCATGAATCTATCTAGCCTTCTTTTAAAACTTCCCAGCGTTCCAGCACTTACTACAAAGTTGCTAAGCTTGTTCTTCTCATCTACCACCCTATTTGTGAACCAGTTTCTTCCTATTTCCCTCCTAAACCTAAACTTATCCAAATTAAATCCGTTGCTACGAGTCCTATCTTGCTCGGATATTATAAGAACTTTATCTATATCTTCTATATTGATTCCTTTCACCCACTTAAATATTTCTATCATATCTCCCCGCAGACTGGAGGAGAGACACTGTGCTGGATACCCTCCCTCCATGATACACGGAATAGATCCTCCAGTGGTTATCTCCACGTGGATGAACTTTGACTTTAAATAAAACTTTTATCACAGAATTCTCCCAGATAGAGATAATGCGGCTTATCACCGGCCAATCTTTATACCATGATTTCAGGTTGCCGCAGTCGGTATCTAAAGTCATTCAGAGGCGTCCACAAGTCTTGGTTTCCTCAGTAGAAAACAACCCTAGAAAACTGAGAAAGATATCTTACTATATTAAACCTTCATAGACAGGTGTTTTCCTGGCTCACCGCGGTGGTAGAATCGTGGCTGGTGAGGTCTTGATTGTATATTTGAAGTCCGCGTGCTAAATGGACTAAATGATATATATATATATATATATATATATATATATATATATATATATATATATATATATATATATATATATATATATATATATATATATATATAGGCAGAGAGAGAGAGATGTCCCTATAGGTTGTTTCATTGTAGTTCCTCCTAATATGCCAAGATTAACATTGGCATTATTCTGGTGGGTGTGTCTCATAAATAAGACAAATGATGTATCTATATAAAATCAACGTATTCACAGGCTGCTTTACTCATCTTCTGTTAAATGCCAAGAAACGTTAACATATTACTTAAAAAAATAATTATTATAATGAATTTGTTTCATAAATGGGAAAAAGACTGATTTTAAACTGAAAATCTCGTAAGGTAGACGTGACGATAAGCTGTTTCACTGTCCGTGCTAATATAATATTAACATTACTATTGGGTTAGGTAGGATAAAAATTTTGGTGTGTAGGCCCGCAGAAAAATACCTAAATCGTATTGCCGTCCATGAATGAGGAAAGATTGCCCATGCCTCCTGTATATGGATTAGGTGTTTGTTCTAGAGATGATGTTTATTAGAAAGAGAAGAAACGTGAGTGGCAGCTACCATCAAGCTATCACTAGCACGTGGAATATTAGAAGTTGTAAAAGTCCTTGAATTTTGGAGGGATTGTAAAAAAAATCAGGAACTCTTCAAAGAACGTCAAAAATGCCATCAATGGCGTGTCAGGTACAGAGCTTGGCAACTTTCTGAAAGATAAATATAGCCCCTTGCTTAACAGCGTCTTCTACAAGCCTGAAAATAAGATCTGCCTTGGGGTCATAACGTTATAAACTTACGAAAATGTCTTCTTCTGCCATCTTACGTTATACAAGTTCAAACAGTGAAAACAAGTAGGAAGGCGCTGGTCAGTTAGTAGTCTAGGTGTGGTCTTGTGCAGGTGTAGGTTGATGGTGGGATTCTCTACCCTCACAGTGTATCAGACATCTTAAAGAACAAAGTAACAGCAACTATGGATACAATAAATCATTTAAAGCATCAGTCAACTTACATTCCCTAACCATCTTCCTATTTACTTGCTCTCTTTGTGTTTGTATGTATGTGTGAATTCAATAACTATTACTTTAAATTAGTTGTCCACTCAGAGTAATTAAGGTGACGTTTGAACATTAGTAAGATTAGTTTTTTCTTAAGAAATAGGTAATATGATGGTAATCTGTCCGAGTGAATGAGGATGGATGTTAATCTGTGTTGTCATACTGTTATCAATCGTTACTATTATGGTTGGCAAGGTGATTTAAGGTACCGCCATATTTAAGCCTCGTCTAGGGTGCTATTACTCTCCTGGTCCTCTATGGTGTCAGTGGTGCCTGGCTCAGCCCTGAGTTATAGTAGCACTGGTGCCTCGCTCAACCCTGAGTTATGGCACTCACGCTGCTGATATGACAGCACCAGGGGTGATGGGGGTTGAGGAAGGGGAGTAAGGGGGTAGGGAGGCAAGGTGTCTTACTACGATGGACACTGAGAGAAAGAGGACTGACGAAAGGTTAGAGGAAGGGTGCATGGAAATTGCTTTGGGGGGGTCGGTGATCACCCACCACCACCACACCTTCCATTCTGTGGTCACACGATAGAAGTCTGTCATCAATTCCACCAACACAACATCCCCAGTGTGTCTGCCTACCCCTTGACCCCATTGGTGTTCTGTTCCTAGACATCATGGAGCTGCAACCCACACCAATAATCTCAAGGTGTGTCCTATGTCGTTGTTACTGTGACATCTTGTATCTCACTCACTGGGAAACACGTGCTTCTTTTACCTTTATGTCTTGTTTCTGTTTCAACACGAGTGATATTCTTTATTTTTATTAATGTATCTTCAGTACATTTTACCAATAAACATTCTCAATATATATTATATGGGTTGAATCATTAAAAAAAATCCTCTAACATTAATTCATATTATGTAGGATATCTCAGAATTTTTCATTGTTTGTAATTTATCTTTAACACAGAATTTCTTCATTTATATACGTTGTATTGCTGTGGGTAAAGATACTTTGTAGAAGCTGTCGCAAAATAATAACATAACACTGTAATAGAAGAGGAATGTATACTTTGGCAGCCACAAAAAATTAAGTAATTGGACTGCATGAATGTATGTTGTGACAATTTTAATATTTCATAGTCTCTTCCAGCAGAAACATTGCACTCGGGTTGAAAACGACGTAAAACACTACTTAATATTGTTACCCTTGAGGAGTAAATATGCTCACTTAAAACAGCGAATTCTGAGAAACACTCCGGAATACTTGCTGAAGTCTCTTCCTGCCACCGAGAGCCATTCTATCATCCTCCAGGCTACACCGTCATGTTCCAGGCTACACCGTCACCCTCCAGGCTACACCGTCATCCTCCAGGCTACACCGTCATCCTCCAGGCTACACCGTCACCCTTCAGCCTACACCGTCACCCTCCAGGCTACACCGTCACCCTTCAGGCTACACCGTCATCCTCCAGGCTACACCGTCATCCTCCGGGCTACACCGTCATGTTCCAGGCTACACTGTCACCCTCCAGGCTACACCATCCTCCAGGCACCGTCATCCTCCAGGCTACGTCATCCTCCAGGTTACACCGTCATCCTCCAGGCTACACCGTCATCCTCCAGGTTACACCGTCACCCTCCAGGCTACACCGTCATCCTCCAGGCTACACCGTCACCTCCAGGCTACACCGTCACCTCCAGGCTACACCGTCACCTACACCGTCACCCTCCAGGTCATCCTCCAGGCTGCACCGTCACCCTCCAGGCTACACCGTCACCCTCCAGGTTACTCCGTCATCCTCCAGGCTACACCGTCACCCTCCAGGCTACACCGTCACCCTCCAGGCTACACCGTCACCCTCCGGGCTACACCGTCACCCTCCGGGCTACACCGTCACCCTCCAGGTTACACCGTCATCCTCCGGGCTACACCGTCATCCTCCTCACGCCTGGATATAAGAACTTAGTACTTTACGTCCACACTAACATACAGACTTGAATTAGCATTAATAATTCACGGTAAAGTTTGTTACTGCCACGTTACGTCTTATTTACTTTTCCGTCTTCATATATTCTCTTCCATCTTTTCTACCTTTAGTCTTTCACGTTAAGGTTGGATGTGCTCTTGTTTCAAATTTCCCGTCCACTGAGGATGAAACGACCAGGAAATCTTTTGGTATTATTTATGAAAGTTTTGAGCTTCGGTATCATATAAGTACGAATAAACTGCCCCCACCCTGCCCCTCCACGCTGGGTTCCGCCATGGTGCTCGGAGTATTGACTAATAGATATACTGTCTACCCATCTGATATGATTTCCGAGCAAATTGGCAATTTCAGATCTGGCTGCTGATGCATCAGATGACTCTCCCCAGTGACTGGCTACTGACGCTGTGACATTAACAAACAGTGTCCAAGTCTGGTGTAACGACGTGATATCGGTGTTACTTAAAATATATCAATCGATCAATTACCTTCACGATTTACACACCAAATAGTCCAGGTAATTTACTTTAAATATCGATCATTGATGACATAAATGGCAACAAGTTTACTACGAACATCGAATTATGAGAAGAAAAAAATCACAAGCTACGTCCTATTACATTGCGAATTGGCAGTAAAGTATGTTCTTGTGTTATAGGCCTATGAATATACTCTAGTGTAATAATAGCTTGTTTCCCTTCCTGCAGATGATGATAGTTTTACCTCCTTATAGCTTTACCTTATGTTCGTACTAGTTGATATAGACTGAGTCATGGCAAGGTGGGAGTGGAAGGTTAGACAAGGAAACCGAGGCGTGAATGAGATGCCAGGTGTGAAAGGAAAGGTGATGAGATCGAGTGTTTACCTGCTTCCTAGAGAACAATAGTGAGCTGGGAATAGGTGTTGAGTCCTGTTGTTATGATGGTGTAGTGTGTGTGTGTGTGTGTGTGTGTGTGTGTGTGTGTGTGTGTGTGTGTGTGTGTGTGTGTGTGTGTGTGTGTGTGCATCTTTGTGTGTGTGTGTGTGCATCTTTGTGTGTGTGTGTGCATCTTTGTGTTGCTTTTTTGCATAAATCTTGTATACAATATAATATATGTAAGTGTTAAAACAGAACTCTTCTCAAACGTATTTTCCACAAAATTTATCCTACATTGAAATTAAGAGCAGAAGTATAATTAGTTTTGCATTCTTAACACTCACAATCTTCAGACAAGCATTATAATCTGTTCTGAGTTCGGACGATGATAAGGAAGTATTCGTGAAAAAGACAGACCCACACATCAGCAAATCCGAACCTAGCATGAAACTGATATTCATAGTTCACCATCGCATAATATTATACAACACCAAAATATGAAACTACAGCACATCACATACACACAAAGTAACACAGCAACAAGGCACAGCAACACAGCACCAAGCAGTAAGGCACAGCAAAGGAGCAATATACAATAGCTCAGCAGCATTCAATACAGCACAGCAACAAGGCACAGCAACACAGCACCAAGCAACAAGGTACAGCAACACAACTCCAGCAGCAAGGCACAGCACCCTATATAGAGACACAATCTGAGACAGTAAAGCGCGGCTCCATCTGAGCGACGTAGCAATATTGCAAGAAATCGCCCATAAACCGTTCCACCGGCTGAATGGCGCCCTGACTTTAATTCATATCCTATGCAGGTGACTCCACTCCAGGGAAACGCTCCAAAATTCTCCACTATTTATATAACGAACTCACTGTATTATTTTCGTCTAGTGTGTGTGTGTGTGTGTGTGTGTGTGTGTGTGTTTGTGTGTAACTTGTGAATAGCATAATTTTTCAAATGTTCTCGGAATTTTTGTAATTTGATTCAGTACACAATGTCAGATTAAAAAAAATCCATAATTTGTGTAGTTTGTTTTTAATATTTTTATGGGCATAGATAGATATTTAATCTAAGTGTAATTTAACTTTGAATTTTCTTGGCTTTTATACAGATAAGAAAGTGATAAAGTGATAAAGACAAAATCGATGAACTAGTGTAAGGTTTCATGTTACATTATGCTCATGGAATGAAAATTTATCCAACTCTTTTCCTCTTCGTGTGAGTTTACTCCTTTTTCTTCACAGTATTAAGCTCTCTGGTTTTAAGACGATAATACCCTAATTATAATGTTTAGGAGGGAGTTATTTGTCCGTAAATTTATAACTAATGAAATAAACTTCTTACAGAAGAATTTCCTCTCAAAAATTCCTTCAACCAATATTCTTAGCGTATATACTGTAAGCCCCTGATGAATGAATTAATTAATTACCACAGTTATAAAAGTATTATTCGTTTTTCCTCTTGCTCTCAATTTTTCACAGAGTTATTTTAACAGAAATATCAGAGACTGGAATAATATAAATGATTTATTACCATCCGTCACATTAGCTTATTGAGTGATGTCTATGCTCCCTGGGATATATATATATATATATATATATATATATATATATATATATATATATATATATATATATATATATATATATATATATATATATATATATATATATATATATATATATGTGTGTGTGTGTGTGTGTGTGTGTGTTATCCTTTACTTGATTACAACAGGAGGGGACATATTCCTTAAGCTCTTCAAGAATATGTTCCCGATATTTTTAAATACAATAGATATAATAAGAATGTTTCATTACACAACCGGTTCGCTCTGACGACACTTGCAAGGCGACCAAGCGATCAAACTTACTGTGTTTAGGTGTCTTAGTGTGGACGAGGCATTATTTCTTTACTGACTCTAGCACAGTATTCCTATCGTGTGGAAATATAGTCATGGTCTTCTATGATGTTACCAGTTTTTCTCCCTCACTGCCTATGAATATTTTCGTAACTTATCTTCATTTTTACATAATTTTTTGACTGATTTAATAAATTTTGGTGGGATTAAAGATCACAAAGACGAACTTTTTAACCGAAAATGAAAGGGTGTGATTTTTTTGTTCCAGTCAAATGAATATACAAAATACAGCTGCCACTGCTGCGGTTGATCCTAGAGTGTGACGTATACACCACCAACACCATATACTGTGTGTGTGTGTGTGTGTGTGTGTGTGTGTGTGTGTGTGAGTGCGTGGGTGTGTGTAAAACAGGACACTCCTGGCTTAATTCATGGGCAGTACCAAGGTTGAGGTCAATGGGGAAGACAACCTTGAAATAACAGAGGTATTCAGTGCTGTTAGAAGAAAAATAAAATGGTAACTATCTTAGCAATCCTGCAATTGAGCAAGAGAGAGAGAGAGAGAGAGAGAGAGAGAAAGAGAGTCTATCGTTCTCAGCAGCAACACCACCACTATCGACGTCTGCCTGGTGGTTTATACTAAATCACAATCAGATATGCATCACCTCGTATTCCTATTTTCAGCCATGAACAGAGTGGAGCATTTGTCAAGGTGGATGACGCACCACACTCAACTCTCTCCACCACCACCACCCATAAAACGCGTCCCGTCTGTTCCTCCTTTCCACCTTCCATCCTTGCAGCCACAAATCATATCCTACTTATCTTTCATTATCAATATTCACCGTCACACGTCACCTCTCCCCCCCCCCTCTCCCCTCCTCCTCCTCTTCCTATTCCTTCTCTTCTTCTTCTTCTTCCTCCTCCTCCTCCTCCTCCTCCTAACCCTTCCAGCCAGGCAATACCGAAACTGGTTTAAGGGAGTTACTAATGCCGATGATGTATTGAGGATTCAGACGCAGGTTGACACGTGTCGAGGCTGGTTTTAGTCTTGGCGTATTGAACATAGACAATCTCCTCCATATATCTGGAGATCTATGTGAAATATTACGCTACAAGGAGATGCATTATATTTTCTAATGTACTTGATTATCTTTTTTTTATTCTATTGAAATTGATGACAAAGATGAAATTGGTACAGCTAAACGTTTTCTGCCTGTCTGTCTGTTTGTCTTCATCTATCATCCCCTTTACGTATGTTTTATTTCATATAAACACATCACTTGGGGTTAATTACTGACCTGTCGATTGTAGATACATCCACCATTTATAACGTGGTTGAGCGGAAGTTTAATACTGAGTTACACACCATTTCCAACACTCCATCACCCACCCTCACTTCTTCCCCCCCCCCCTCACCCTGCCGAACACCAGGAGCCAGTCACTGTCCTCACCCTGCCAACACCTGGAGCCAGTCACTGTCCTCACCCTGCCAACACCTGCCATCACCTATACCAACTCTCTCAGCCTCTCCTCTCACCCTCCCAACACCTACAGCCTCCCTCCCAGCCTCTTCCCTCACCCTCTCCAACCCCTGGTCTCTTGCCTTCGCCTTGATCTCTGGAATGTCAAATGGCAACATCGGTGGATTCATAAACAGAAAAGAAAGCTTTCCTTTACCGTGTATCAACAAAGAATGACTTCTTCTCTAGGACTGAGTTGTGTCCAGCTTTCGAGGGAATTGTATATTTGTATTTTTAGATGATAACAGATAAAAATTATTGTGTTTCTGTATCCTGTATCTCTCTCCAGGGTTCTTGGTTATTCTGCCTTGATAACACCTGATAAGAAGACGCCCTGGACTTAGGTGGTCTATGGTGTTGGTGCACTGATGACATGCTAGTAATATGTTTATATTTATTGATGGCTCTTAAGTTAACAATGAAAGTCGAGTTGGATGTTACTAAAGGTTTGCCCTCTTTATTTTTTTCTGAACATCTGAACTCTTCCTGATCCTTCATGATATTTTGACGTATTATTGATGCTTAGATTTCCTATACAAAAGACCTCTGTACTCGGCTCTCACCGCTTCACTCCCGCCGCCATGTACTTTTCTTCCTCAAGTGACACAGAAGTTGCTCCTCGCTTACCTTCGTATCTTCACATTTTATACAATAGTATCATAATTGATTCTTGGGATACAGATGAACGAAAATCATAAAGAGAAGAAACTCGATCCTTGAGACC